TGAATGAACCAGTCTGCTGGGAGGCATTATGACTGATTAAATGTGAAAAACTATGTAAAGGAAATAGTACGGAAGAGCCTATGCATGTCCCACACTGAAACATAATTATAGTCCTCTTCAAGTATTTGCAGTGTATAACACGGGTCTCTACTCCATCAGATTTAAGACATTAATATTGTGTGAAGAACAACAATTTATATCTGCTCATTTATTCTACAGGTTTTAAATAGAGACACTCTTCACTAAGAAAGACATTAAAGAAGAAAAACAACTCAAATGCAGAACAATCTCTTAATGAATATTAAGTATTTCTAGTATCAATACATTTTTCCTAGCAAAACTGTGTGATATAGTAAATAGCTGAGTGTGTTTTGCTCAGGAAGCCTTTTCTGCTACCTTCAGGTTTCTAAAACATTACACAGATAGTTACTTCCTTGGAACAGAGCTACAACTGTGCCAGGGTATCTTATGCCACTAATGCTTTCTTCCCCACATAATCTAACTGATGGGACATAATAGCATGAGAAATCAAAGAAGAAAGAGAAGACAGGAGAAGCTAGGGAAGCTAGCTAGCTTCCTAGGGAAGCTGACTAAAGAGAATGCATCCATTGAGCAACACAGTAAGCATGAAAGGAATTCTTACTTTCATTAGAACAGTCTTATGCCTTTTATCTCAATAGTCTTCAAATTAAATTCCACAATTGTTCATAAAGAAAAAAAAAACAAATTTGGGAAGGGTTGCCAGCTACTGATACCAAAGGTATAACAACCAACACAATTTTATATGCTACATATATTTATGAATACACTACTACTTATATATTACTCTACTATATAGTATACTATATTATTATACATAAATACGTATGAAAAAACTACAAGGAGAATTTTGCTTCTTTCTCTAGATAGGAAACTGACCCACAGACTGCAAAGGGACAGAAGAAAACCAGACTGCAGAAGATTAGGTTAACCCAACAAGCAGGAAGTAAAGCAAAACAGCCAGGAGGCCTGCATGGATGAGCAAGGAGCTCCTGGCAAAACTCAAAAAACAAACAGAAAGCCTACACTGGTTGTAAGCAAGGATGTGTAACCTGGAAGGAATACAGAGACATTGCCTGAGCACGCAGGGATGAAGTTAGGAAAGCCAAAGCCCAGCTGGATCTGAATCTGGCAAGGGCTGTCAAAGTCAACAAGGGCTTCGATAAGTAGAGATGACAAAAGGAAGGTTAAGGAAAATGCGGGCCCACTGCTGAAGGAGATGGTGGACTCACACAGGACATGGAAAAGGCTGAGGTACTGAATGCCTTTATTAGCAAGGCCAGCCTTCAGGAATCCCAGAGGAAAGGCTGAGGCAAGGATGACTTGTCCACAGTGGAAGAGGATTAGGTCAGAAAACACTTAAGCAAACTGGACATAATTAAGTCCATGAGGCTTGATGGGATGCACCCACAAGTGCTGAATGTCCTTCTCAATACTCTTGAAGTACCTGAGGACTGGAGGTAACAAAATGACACTCCTGTCTTCAAAAAGGGCAGGAATAAAGACCCAAGGAACTACAGGAGGTCAGTCTCACCTCAATACC